CCCCAAAACCCCAAAACCCCAAAACCCCAAAACCCCAAATTCTTAAGCTACTGTTGATCAGCAGTTTAATTTTCATAATTTAAATACGCTAATTCAAAATTTTTGAGCACTTCTTTCTCTAAACAGAAGATTAGGGCTGAAGAAGGACTCTATTTTGTAGATTAGCAGAGATTAAGACTCTTTTTACTTACAATACTAAATATACTGTCCCATCTGCTTCCCAGGAACCATGAATACAATATTTTTATCATTCTTGGCCTTACTCCGAGCTTTCTTCTTCCGACCAGGTTGAGATATTTTAGTAGTCAGCTCCATTTTACTCGATGTTGAAGGCTTGAGGGCCTGCAACTGAGAGACCATGCTCTGTGTGAACTTCTTACTCTTCGGCTTCCTTTTCATATTGCTCGATTCGATACTACTATTCCCAAAGATAGAGTTTAAAGCATTCTGAGATTTCAAGTAATTGGAGTATTCCTTGGCTGAAATCTTTGCATTTTTCAACAAAAAATCCCTTGTCTTTGACTTTAGCTTGTAAGGGCTACTAAATTCCTCCAGGTCATTATCATTTGTTGAGAGATATACAGGATTAGTCTTCTTCACATAGTGCTGGCTCTTTTTCTTTCACGACTTTTTATGCTTGGATTTCACTTTTGTAATCGGTTTCGCTACAATTAGAAAGGTAATTGAGGTTTTACATTTGTTAGTCAAGATATAAATAATGCGAAATCCTAGGAATACTTGCCATTAATATATAATTTCTTTCTTAAGAAAACTTTGAAACAGTTTATGCATCTGGTAAGAAAATTGAAGAAAGTCTGAAAATAGTCCTTTTGAGTAGTTGAGACTTAGAAGGATAGAAAGAAACTGGTCTTACTTCCAAGATTCATTTGCATTGATTTCGTAGATCCTGGCATTCTGTGATGATGTTTCGTGTCTTGGCTAGTAAATCCCTTCTTATGCAGATTTATAATGCCATGTTTCTTACTAGTGCTTGAGATAGACTCAAAATATCTCCTATCAGAGGGATCTCTGACGATAAGATTTGGTGATCCTTTATCTCATGCCTTTATTGAATACAATTTATCATTTTTCTTGGATTTTGGAGTTTGCTTTGGAAATTTTATTGGGACTTGGTTAAATGATTGGAAATGTCTTTTATGCTTTGCAGTAGCAAAAGGACCATCAATTGAAGGTCCATCGAATCTGAAGAAAGATTTATTTCTGAATGACCTTCATGCCTTTTCTGGATGTATTTGACTTACTGGCTTTTCTTTTACCCGATCTTGTTCTGGTTCTTTCGGTTTCGTGAAAGCCAGAAAGTTTACCTGTTTGAATAATCTCATATATCCTTTTATCATAAGTTTTCTGCTGTCCTATGCTTCCTTTGCTGGGTTTGTGGGCTGACATCCTCTGGTATGCCAATTTCTGAGTTTTCTCGTTTTTATAAAGGTACTTCTGGTACTTGCTCTTTGCCTTATTGTTCTTATAAATACTTTTAGAGTCTCTCTCCTTGCCTCCAATAAACAAATTTATGTTATGCACTTTAGCAGGCTTTGATACATTCTTCTTCTTAAGGAAGATCAATTCCGAAGATTTATTTAGGTAAGTTCTTTTTCAAACTTTTTGATTTCAAATTTCCAAAATCATGACTCTTCTTTTGAAATTTCTTCATGTTGATTAAGCCTCTAATATCATCATTGTGGCCGAAGCTGGATTTTATTCTCTTCGATTCACAGGACTGACCTGTTTTATCAGAGCCGATACTCATGACTTCATTCATTTTCTTTCCCTTAGTCTGAGCAAGTCTTGGTTTCTGTAGGGTATTATCTTCAGTTCTAAATAACTGATTTTGATTGAATTCTTCATCCTCTTCATCAATTTTGAGCAATTCTTGGTTCATTTTAATAGTCTTCTGATCCCTCTCCTGGGATCCTCCGATCTCCTTCTCGACTTCAAGTAGGCGATCATAGATTTCTTTGTAGTCAAAATGGGCACCTGTTTCTGGATCCTGAAACTTCTCGCCTGGCTCATCATCAATGTAAATTCCTTTATAGTTCATCAACATTTCTTGCTGTGTGTAGTCGTCAGGGTTGGCTTGTGGATCACTAGAGGTTAAGGCACATAGAAATACTCTGATCCTACAACTTTGGTGGTTCCATCCATATTGTGTTCTGGGTTGTCACTAAAAGATATTAGAACTTTTGAAGTACCCGGTGTGGAGGTCATCGTCTTCATATTCGTACTCGTCATCGCTATCCATGTAGAACTCGAGTTGTCGCTTGTAAAACTCTTCATCTTCAGAGAGGCCGTCGTCGTGGCACTCTTCGGTGTGAACTCTTCTATCATCCATTTTATTAATTATTAGAATGTATGCAGTGGGGTTTTGGGGTTTTGGGGTTTTGGGGTTTTGGGGTTTTGGGG